CCTGCTGTTCTAGTTGTTTGGCAGCGTGCTTCTGCTCAGTCCCAATGTCTCTGCTTTAAGGTCACTCTTTATCTCCATTCTTGAAGCTGCTGGCTGGGTCTTTTTCAAAATTGCAGGAACCTAGGCAGGATGCAAAACAGCCTGTAATTATATGAGAAGATATTCTATGTGCAGCAGAAGGAAATCAAGCTTCACGATGATCCTTTTTTTTGTTATTTTGTAAAAGGAGCTTTTTCCACGCAAGTCAGTATGTACTAGAGTTGTTCTTGAGTGACACATAAGCATAATCCAATAAATTGTAGCGATAGGTAGCAGACAACAAATTACTTCTGTCTGCCTCTCAGTGGCAAGATAGGACAGGAATTTGAGTCTCTCTTTCTTTGGAAACTTGAAGGAAGTTAATTTTGAATATGTTGATAGTTCTATAACTACAGGAGTGCAGAGTGTAGGCAAGCCAGCTAGTACAATCCTATAAAATATGCTAAGAAAAGGCACTGAATTAGGAAAATGACTCATACAAACTCTTGCTAAGCTGAAGACAGTCATTCTGGAATTTTTCTTACAGCTTGGCATACGATCCTGTAATACCATCAGCATCAGGGCCAAAGGCAGCTGGCATGCACAGGAAGAGCTACTGTAGCCTTCTGATTGCAGGGCAAGGCACAACCACATCACTCTCCAGCATGAGATGTTGCAGCTAATACCCAGCCCCGTCTTCCTTTTCCCTTTGCTTTCCTTTCATTGGAGAGGACCATTGACTCAGAGTTAGTAGATGAGTGGGAACAGAAGGGGAGGACCCCATGAGACCCCTCACTCTGATCAGACTGCTACAGCTGCTGAGAGCGCGAGCTCCTTTTCTCATCAGCCTCAGCTTCCTTTGGATGGCCAGGAGAAAATAAGGAAGGAACCTCTCCAGGCACACGCTGCTGCCTTGCTTCTAGCAACAGCAAGTGCTACCTAAGAGCTCAAGTATGTCACACACAGCAGTGTGGAGCGCTGGTCCTCGCTGAATCCAGCCAGGGAGAACCTTTTGCACTGCCAAGTCAAGCAACAGGGGCCGCGTTCCCCGTGCTCGGTGGCACTTTCCTCTGTGGCTGCTCGCTCCCTGCACGAGAGGGGCCCTGCACTCGGAGCCTGCGGCCGGGATACGTACGTGAGGAGGCAGCGGAGGCTCCAGGTGCCGCCCGAGGAAGGAGAGCAAGCGCCGCCAGATCAGACCGCTTCCCAGGAACATAATGCCCGTCACCAGCCAGAATAGGCGGGGGTCCTGGCAAGAGAACGCCTCCTGTTAGTCGTGCAAGCCTCTCTTGGAGAGGGCATTGTCAAAAGACTCTGCGTGATCCATCCTTGCTTCAGCTCTCCTTTATGCGAGGGAAGCGATACGCTCTCTACCAGCAACAGCCAAGTTCAACCTGGAAATCACCTGAACTATTGTCCCATACCGTTTTCCTTTCCTCTCCTTGCTCCTTTTGCAATTTAGAAATTCAACCTTTCTACTTTTTGGATTATGAAAAGAAGAAGTCTTTTTTTTTTTTTTAAAGTAGGACATATAACTGTAAATGCTTCCCACAGGTCTGGGCATATTCATGTAATTAAGAAACAACAGTTCCTCCGCTGTGCACGGATCCCCCAAGCGCTGCCTGCTTTAAAACCTTGTCTCCAAAAGACAGAGCTGGGCTCTTCAGAAGCTCCAATGGTCATTAAACAATCCCAAACCCTGCTTTGTCCTTACTGAGCCACAGTTCTGTCTTTCCTATTTTCTCTCCTGGAACATCACACAGACAAAAAAAAAAAAAAAGCCTGCAATGCTCTCTGATTAAAGTAATCTGGTACAAAAGACAGTGATCACACTAATGCTTGAATCTGAATTGAATCTAGACTGAATTAGCCTACTTTACACATGAATATAAATCTGGAGTTCTACCTATGAAAAGAATAGAGTTGTACCGAATGCAAAATGCACTATAAGAACAGATCCATTTTCTGTCACTGGAAAAAAGCAGCACTAATTCCTTACTTCTTCAAGAGATGACTCCAAGTTCATACCAAATGCAACTGCTTTTAGATCATCACATTTCGGTGGCTAAAGAAGGGGAAAAACATCTGTAAGAGGAATCCAAACATTTATCTGCTGCTTAAAGTCTCAAGCTCCACAGAGCATGCACTAAAACAGATTAGTGAGATGAAAGCAAGTCATTCTGCAGTACTGCAACACAGAAGCGCAGTAACAGAAGTGGGGAAACAACAGTGTGAAGAGGCTTTCATTTTTGGAAGTGCTGCATCAGGGAGCAACCTCTAAGGGAGAAGGTTCTGCATAATCATCAGCAGACTTTCGGGTCTCTCTCACTTCTTGAGGGTAAATGCAGAGAGTAACAGTAAACTCCACGGAAAGGTGTGCTCTTTCATCACAAAGTGGCTGGCATTTGTATACCAGTATTCACAAACAACAAAAATTTACTGTTACCTGGCAAGTGCACTTACAAAGAAGCAAAGATGGTAAATACTGCAGACTATAAACTTCAGCCTGTTTTGGAGAACTCCACATTCAGTTCTTCCCAAAAAGCATTTTTTGTGGCTTCCTGATGCAGCATCTGCCAATTGCTCCTACGGATAACTCCCCAGTAAAGCGGAGAAAGAATATTAAACAGTGACCTCTCAGGGATGGTGGCATGTCCTTGCACATACGAGTTACTTTTCAGTAACAAAACAGACTACTACTGAAAATTATAGCACACAGAAAAAAGATCTTTGTTCTCAAATTATTTCATCTTGTACCATGGCACAGGGCGGTAATGCAGCTTGTACCAATACAGAAGTAGCTTTGCCAAAATCTTTTTGAAAAATTGGGAGCAGACTTTCCTAGGTAAGGATTTTATTTCCCCTCTACATTTGAGCCATTTCCTTTAGTGAGAAGCTTCCCAGAGGGATTTAGAAAAAGATGGGTTCCTCCTGCTGCATAGTAAGGTGTTTTGTTGCGTTGTTTTGTCCAGTTCCCTGACGCAAAAGCACAACCCAAGCCCGCTGCAACCCTCACCAAGGTGGCATTCCCCCACTCTTCTCACAGGCAGGGCTTTGAAAAGAACAGGCAGCATTAGATTCTGCTCAGCCTTTAGCAGTGCCACAGCTAAGATAGCTGACCTGTCCAGGTTCATGAAGATTACGCTTTCCGAGTCATCTATCAATACTCTGAGCTCACGAGCTTCATTTGCAAGATCTTCTGCTTGTCTATAATAGTTCTCCAGGAGCAGCTCCATTTCCTCTGCATGGTCAATCCCAGATGCGCTCTCCTCACTGCGAGCAACAATTTTTATTCTCTTTAGGTACACATTATAGACAGGGGCACTACTGCTGCATTAAGACAAAGCCTGTGAAGGAGCCCTTGGGAACACCAAGTAGAAGTGTTGCCTGACCCAAAAAACCCAATCTTTTAGGTGAGGAATCTCCAAGGGCATGAAAGAAAAGGCACACTTTTTCCATTTTTTAATCATCTGACCAGCATGAGTAGTCAGTTATTTTAGTTACAGTTGTTAGGATTTGATATTCTTAAGATATGCACAACAGCACAAATCAAGGTTTTTCAGATGGTATGAAACTGAAGTGCTCACATTCTTGAAAGGAAATGTTTAAGTCCTTGATACTCTGAAGTAGTGGAAGTCTTAAGTTGACAAACAAGAACATAGTGAGGTCTATGTTGCAGGTATATAATAAAATGATTTAGTTATAAGGCACTTCATCTCTACGCAATAACTACTACAAAACATTTTGGGAGCATGAAGCAACCTGAAAGTTAAGTGCCAAAGCATCTCTGAAATGCAGTTTGAGAGACTCTTCTTCCTGAAGGGACCAGAACCTATTAGGATCTGATACATGATATTTTTAGCTTTTTAGTTTTGTTAGACCAGTGCTGCTGCAGCGTGTGATCCTTCATCTGAACTTGAGAGGCTGAGATAGGACTATTTTTGCACATACCCTTTTCCTGAACTGTTGCTCTCTAGACACACTTGCGCACAAACAGTATCAAGAGGACTGCTCTGAGGCCTCTCTCCTAAAAGCTCTGCTACTGAACAGAAGTCTAGGAGCAAGGGTTCAGAACACTTCTAAAGAAGAAAGGATGGTGCTTGACCTATTTGGGACAAATTTTCAAAACTCTTTCTTTGTCCTGTTTGTGAAACTGAGGAAAACTCTCCCTCCAAAGTGTGCTTTTCCCTCTTTTTTTTCTGTTTTTTCTCCCTCTACCATCCCGCGTCTATCCCATTGCATACTAGGGGACGAGCTGCTCTGCTACAAAGTTTGAAATTGCATGATATAAACAGTGCTACTATTGTCCCATTCCAGAATGACAGAGATGTGACCATTTCTAAAGTGGCAAAGCATTAGTGCTTTAAGAACAAGTAGTTTGTTTTCTCTCTACTTTTTGGAGGGGGACATCCAGTTTAGTATTTGAGCTGTACTTGGACAAAAATGCACTTTAAAGATTCTGTGTTTTCATAAGGTACATACAATACTTGTGGATCAGTCCATTTAGTTAAACAGAGCTCTTCTATTAATTCTTCTTCATCTAAGATCTCCAGAATTGTTTCTTTGAAAACTTTAAGGTCTGTTTCCAGTTCTGATAAGCTGAAGAAAGAACAGGCAAGAGGTCAAGTAATCCCAGGGACACCTGTGCACAAAGGCTATCTTAAATCGAGTTTGCCAGAACCCTCTCCAGAATGAGTCACCAGGAGGATTCTCTGGAGGGTTCTGAATGTTCCTCAGAAAAGCTCCCTACAGAGCCCCTGTTCAGCAGCGGCCGCCACCTGGCAGTCTGCAGGCACGCACTGAAAAGCATCCGGCTATGGTTTCCCGACATATTCCTATGTTGGAAAACGTCAGCGCTCCACGAGCATGTAGGGAGCACACATGGACTCTGACAGGGCAGTGCACAACACCTGAAGGTACTAATGTATTAGCACTGCTAATCTTAAAGAGCATATCCAGCAGGTAGCCTTGCTTTATATTACACCAAACATTTTAGTAATGCTATGTTGGTCTATTAGATGTTACTTGGTTCTACTAGATGCTGTTTAAGGTGTTTGACTGTATTTCTCACAACTCAGAATAGATTCCACTTTTTTTTTTTCCTCCTCCCATACCATATATTGATTTTTCATTTATAAATTAGATGCACAACCCAGCATTGCATTACTCTAGGATATTTATAATAAATATCATTTTGTAACATTTAACTGCATATAACATTCTATGGTCATCTTCTATTCTCTTCACAGCTTATTCTTATTTACCTCTTGCCATTTTGCAGGAGAACGTGTAGTTTACTCCTATCCACAGACAAAACCTTGGGGTCCACTAGAGCTTCCAGAGTCTCAAGGATCTGAGGCTGCAAAGTGTTAAGTCTCCCCTGCAGTTTGCTGATCTAGATAACAACATGATCCTTCATAAGAATTACAGCAATCCCTGTAGAATGGCTTGGGCAGGTGACTCCTGACTCTGAACACAGAACTCACAGTAATGGGCAGTTAATGCAATGTGCTTTCCAGTGCGCTGGAAATACTTGCTATATAGATACGACTTACAGGATGAAGTATTTGTACCACTTAGCTGTAGCACATCTTTACAAAAATACCTTGACTTGATTCTAAGTTTTCCAAATGATGGTGAAGGCATCATATCCTTACTAAAATTGTTCCAACAATAATCCTTCCAGTTAGCACTTTTTCCAGGAAAGGAATGCAAACAGACACACAAAAACGATAAAAATTAAGCAATGGAAGCCAACCCTCCCCTCGAAAACTAATATAAATCTGGAATACAGACAAACACACGCATATGTATATAAACTAACATAGGAAGAAAACCATACTGTCCTTTCTATGAAAGAACAACTCCACGGAAACTGAATTGGAAAGCAGAGCGCTCACCCAGTACTGCAGGATGGCTTCTATGGCTCGGAATTCGAAGGGCAGGGAATACGTGACCAGCTGGCCCCCCCCAGCTAGCTGGGCCGCTAGTTCGTTGAAGAGCCAGTGTTCCAGATTTAAGTTACGATAATCCAGTATCAGAAGAAACTCTGGTGTTATGACAACCTTCAAGAACTGAAAGAGACAGTGCAAGGCCAACAAAAACACCTAAGAAACTGTGCATGCATGGACAGGATATGGTTCAAGTTTACATGAGCTTATGGGGAAAAATTACCTCCATCCTCATGATGATCCTGTTGTTCCTACTTGTAATGCTCATCTGGTGTTGAAATCGTAGATCTCGAGCTTGAAGATCCAACTCCTGGTACAATTCTGTTTTCTTTTTTTCTATCATGAAAATATTTTTAATTGAAAACAGTTTGAGAAAAGGTAGAGTTGTATTTTAGTTTGTTACTTAGTGCCCCCCCCCAAATCACTCTTTAAAACAATTTTGCTGCCATTGATTCCTCAATGAAATCTTTTAATAAGCTTAAAGATTATTTATTGAGCAGGAAGAGAAAATTATGGGTATAAGTGAAAGAATTTGCCACTGCAATTAATTTCACCTCAGAAGCCACGTGGCTGGTATGAGACAACACACAATTCTGCAGTAATGTGCTAGGAAGGGAAAGTAGCATGGTTGAAAAGGAAAGAGAATAGTAAAGGGGATCTTCATGTGATACATGGTATTCACAATTTTCAGTGTATTACTTAAAAGGATATAAATATTGCAATGATAAAGATACTAGGAAAATCCATATGAGAGAGCAACACAGAAAATACTACAACATCCCAGGCTAATAAATACAGTCAACATCACAAACATACATTTCTATCCAAGGTAGACTCCCAATGAGGCTTTTCTATAGTGGGCATGATAAAAAGATAAAAAAAAACCAAACGCATCTCAACTACAAATTTCCTACTTACCAAAATAGCTAGTATTTCCTTCTTTGTCAAACTTCATCTAAAGGAGAGAAAAAAACCACAACTTTTTCACATAGCTACTATGAAAGTTAAAAAACAAACAAGCAGATGAAATTCCACTTACTTGGCAAATACAGAAAACGTTTATGCCCTCTCTTCACAGTTTACCCTAGCTAATGCAAATTACGCACTGAGTTGCCATATATTTCACTGTGTTCAACCATACACCAACCAAAACCACTGGTTCATACCCCAACCCTTGGGAGGAAAGTCGTTTGCAGAGAATTAAACTTGTTTTGGCACATTTTCCTTCCATATCGCTTACTTTTAGAGATGGCAGTTTGGAACTGAGTGTGCTTTCCACTAGAGCCAGGAGTTACACGGCCACAAGGGCCTGCTTGCAAAGATGGATCTTGCTTTTGAACAGCACATCTATATTCAAGGCCTGACCCCTTCCTCCCTACACTCTCACCTTCCCAGATGGCTTCCAGGCTCCATCTAATAGGGAATTTTAAAATAATTTATTTTTTTTCCCCAGAGACCTATGTTTGCTTAGAATTGCGGGCACCATGGCATACAAATGCTGCAACGTGAGGATACAGAGTTCAAGTTTAACGAGCGCCCTTCGACCTGCGGCGCTCGAGGTGCTCCAGAGCCCCTGCAGACGTGGCCTTGCACCAGGGCAGGGCAACACTCGAGCTCGGCGCGTGGGGCTGCACAACAGCGGCTTAAGCGGCCCTGGGGACAAGCGGCAGCCCCGACCTCACGACATTTCGGGCACCGAGAACGACTGCGGGCGCGGGCCCCGCAGGCCCGGTACT